AAAAAAAAAAAAAAAAAAAAAAAAAAAAAAAAAAAATTTTTTTTTTTTTTTTTTTTTTTTTTTTTTTTTTGAATCAACTAAAAAATAATATACATTTTTAATTTTAATTATGAAATTTTATAAATTTTTTTTTTTGGTAAAAGTTATTTTAAATTATAATTTTTTAAATTAATTTTAAATAATATATATATATATATATATATTTATAAATTGTTTTATAAGTTATAAAAAATTTTATAAAAAAAAAAATAATATTATATATTTTTTTTCAACTTTTAATTGAAGTTTGTAATATATTTGTTTTTTGTTTCACATATTTTTTTTTTAATAATTATTTTCATAGAATAGACTTTATTAATTTTTTCGCATTTTTTTTAAAATATCAGCACTTATGTTAAACAGACAATGTAATTCAAAGAAACAAAATTGTAAGAATCTCCTTATTTAATGAAAAAGATTTAAAAAAAAAGAAGAGAAAAATAAGTAAAATTATGAGTTTTCTGAATGCGAAAATTCATGTTTCAATTTTTAATAATTATGTGGATTTTTATGAGGAGAACAAGTTTGAAAGTATTGAATCAAATTCATTAAAGAAAAATAATGAATTAAATAATAAAATTGAAATGAATGTAAACAAAAATAAAGTAGAAACTAAAAAAATAAATGGAAATAATATTTACAAAAAAGGTTTCAAGGCAGAAAATATAAATAAATATAATTTCAAATGTGATAAAAAAAAGAAAAAGAATATAAATAAAAAATCTTCCATAAAAATAAATAATAGAACTAATAGAATTTCAAATTATGAGGGATGTAATGTAGAAAAAAAAGGCCAAATCACTTCAATAAAAAATGATATGGTTCCAAATAAAAAAAATAAAATAAATGAAGAACATAACATAATAGAATTTAAAAAAAAAAAAAATAATGAAAAAATAAATAACAAATTTTTAAGTCAGAGAAAAAAAAATTTAAGGAATATATTTTTGAATAGAAAAAGATGTTACAATTTAATTTTTTTAAAAAAAAGTTTCAAAGTAAAAAAAAATAAGATAATTAAAACATATAAAAACTCCATAAAAGAAAAATCAAAAAATTTAAATGTAATTAAGTCTGAACATAATTTAAATAAATTATCAGATAAATCTTATAAAATTATAGATATAAAATATAGTGATATGATAAATGAAAAAGTAGATAAAAGTAAAATAAGTAAGAATGAAATAAATAATAAAAATCATGATAAATATAAAAAATTTCAAAAAAATAACAAAAACAAAAATAGTAAAATTTATAGGGAAAATAAAAGTGAGGAAGAAAAAAATATTATTTCATTAGTAGATATGAAAAAAAAATTTGTAAATTGTAATAATTACAAAAAAAAATATAAAAATGTTAGAAATTTAAATGAAACATTAAAAAAAAAAAATATTTTAAAAAGAAAAAAAGAATTTCATAATTTTGATTTGAATAAAGATAAAAATGAAATATTTAATAAAGAGAATGAATTACTTGATAATTTAAACATTAAAAATGAAAAGAAAAAACCTGATATTCATGATAATCAAATTTTAAAAAATACTGTGCTTCTAAATAAGAAAGTAATTTTAGCTAGAAATGAAAAAACAAAAAGTAGCGATATTAAAAGAAAGAATGATTTTCATTGTGAAATGAAAAAGAAACCAAAACAAAAAAATAAAAATGAAAAAATGAAGATGAATTATACTGATAACACAAATAAAAAAGAAAGCAATACTATTGAAAAAACTAATATACAAGATAAAATAAGGAAAAATCCTTTAGATAAATATGATAAATCAGAAATAAAAAATGAAGAAAGTAAGGAAAAAGAAAAAAATCTAAATAATTATAAAATTTATAATTTGAATACTAACAATTATGTATCAGGAGAATTAACCAATAATAGAAATAATGATACATATTTTGAAAGTAAACTGGATTATATTAAAATATTAAGGCAAAATAAAAAGAAGAAATATATAATTAAAAAAAGAGAGAAAAATATAAATAAAAATAAATTGAAAAGTAATATTTACAATTACATCGATTTTACTTCAATTAATAAATTAATTAGAAGTGCACCAGATAATAAAAAATATGGTTTTCAGAATGAAACAAAAAAAAAGTGTCATAATATAACGTTAAAAAGTTTACATAAGCCAAATTATAATAATACTGAAACCAATGAAGATAATAAAAAAAAAAATGATAATAATTTAAATAAAAATAAAGATGATGTATATAAAAATAGAGATAAAATAAATGAAAATAAAGAAGATATAAATGGTAATATAGATAATATAAATAAAAATATAAGTAATACAAATAAAAATATATATGATGTAACTAAAAATATAGATGATGTTGATAAAAGTGTAGATAATTTAAATAAAAATAAAGAAAAAATAATTGAAAATAGAGAAGATATAAATGAAAACGGAGATAGCATAAATAACAATAAAGATAATATAAATAAAAATAATGTTAATATAAATGAGGAGGAAGTAAAAGAAAGTGGAGAAAATATATATAAAAATAAAGACAAACATAGCATTAATCACATAAATAATAATTTTGCAAACGTCCCTCTTGGAGATAATAACAAAATTATTAATTACAATAGCAACATAAAAAATAGCAATATTAATAATAATGATATAAATAATAAATTGGTTGATAAAATATTTAACGTATGCAATGACAATAATAGTAATAAAGTTGATTTATTTGAAAAAAATAGCTTTTCATCAAAAGAAAATAAGAATAGTAAGGAATTATATATTGCAAAAAATTTTGGTTTAAATTTAAATGAATACACCATATTAAAAGAAATAAAATCAAAACAAGATAACGAAATAATTCAGTTAAATTTAGACTCCTCTTTTTATGCATCGAAAGGAGCTGGCTTATATAACTATGGTCAAAACATATGTTTTTTTAATAGTATTATTCAAGCAATTATAAGAATCCCATATATTTGTAAAGATTTACTAAATAAGTTACATTCATTAAATTGTGAAAAGAGAAAAAAAAGAATCTTTTGTTTCTATTGCTTGTTTGAACAATTTGCTTGTAATATTATATCAAAAAGAAATGTAATAAAAAATGTTTTAATTCCATATATTAAAAAGTATATTTGTAATAGTTATAATATTGGCTATCAGGAGGATGTACACGAATATTTAAGATACTTTTTGTGCTCATTAGAAAAATCCTCCTTTTTTTCGTCTATTTATATTCAAAAAATGTTTACAGGAGTTACTAAGAACGTCACGATATGTATGAAGTGCAATAATGTGTCTCTTAAGTATGAACAGTATTACGAATTATCTTTAGATATTAGTTCTTCTAATAATCTTGAAGGTGCTTTAAAAAAATTTTTATCAAAAGAAATGCTAATGGGAGAAAATGGTTATTATTGTGAAAAATGTAAAAAAAAGAAAATGGCATCAAAACAATGTGTTATAAATAAATTACCGAGAGTTTTAACTATACAAATTAAAAGATTTTTTATGAATTCTAACTATCACATAGTAAAAAATCACAAAAATATCTCTTATCCATTATATTTAGATATGAAATATTATGTTAATAACTATGATTTATTTGAAAACAACTTCAACAATAATGTTATATCTTTATATGAAAAAATGATATTAGATAGTACATCAAAAAATAACTTAAACAAGAATGAGACGAATTTTAACAATTTTAAGGAAAATAAAAATGGAATAAAATTTGATGATTTAAATAGAAATCAAAGTGAAATAAATTTTTATAATTTAAATAAAAGCCAAACTTCTTTCAGAGACAATAACATAGATAAAAGAATAATTTCAAATAACACCAAATTAAGAGGAGGTGAAGACAATCAAAGCATTCATGTATTAAAAGAAATAGAAAATATTTTTACAGATTTAAAAAGTGAAGTTTGTAAAAAAAAAATAGAAAAAAAATTATCTGTTTCTAATTTAAGAGATATAATAATAGAGAAAAGAAAACTCATTATAAAAGAATTAAAAAAAATTAGATTCTCAAAATTTTACAAAGATGTTTCTACAAGAATATCCAAAGATATCGATACACTTTATTCCTACTTTACAAATAATTCTCAAAATAAAAATTTTAACATAAAAACTTTATTATTTAAATATAAAATAGATTATTATGAGAATCAAAAAAATGAAGAAATATTTATTAAAAATGAAAAAATAAATTGCATAAAAAGTAGTGAAAAATGCAATGAAAAAGATGAAAAAAATAAAAAAAATTCATTAAATTATGTAAATAATTATTTTTATTATGAATTAACAGGTTTAATTAAACATATAGGATCAGGAACAGAATATGGGCATTACATTGCCTTAACAAAATTAAATAATAATATTTATTTACAATGTGATGATAATGATGTTTCGTATATTAATGAAAAGGATATACTTAGCTGTGTTAAAAATGCATATGTTTTTATATATACATGTATTAATCCACGTTTTATTGATTTTTATAATAAGTATGTAGATGTTTTAGAGAAAAAAAACTTTGATATGAATTTACCTGTATTCGAAAAGAATGTTGAATTTAAAGAAAGGATAACTATGCCTAAACACAAATTTATAAGCAAATCATTATATTATTAATACTTTTTTTTTTATTTTTTTTATTTTAATTTTAAATCTTGTATATACCTTGATACTTTAAAATAAGAAGGATAAGTTGACAAATTCATAAAACATATTAAGCATATATATATATATATATATTGATGTTTTATATCTTAAAAAAAAAAAAAAAGAAAAAAAAAAGATCAAAGCACTTGTATGTACATACACACATGAAGAAAAGAAAGAAACTTTTTTTTTCATGATTTTTTGATCTGAAAACAATAGTATATATACTAATTTCATTTTTAATTAACAAATATAAATAGTAAAAAATTTATTTAAGAATTTCATTATTAGTCTCTAAGTTTTATTCTATTTATATATAATCAATTGTACAGAAAATAATAAAAAAAATTTTTTTTACTTGATATGAATAATACATCACTTATAATTAATAAAAATTATCTATTATATTATAGAATTAAAAAATATATTTATATAATATTTTATTTAATTTAAAATTAAAATTTTCTTTAATAAAATTGAGATTTTTATGTTTATTTTAATGAAATTTTCTTAAATTGTATATGTATATATATATATATATTTTTTTTTTTTTAAGAATTTTGATCATTTCATTTCATTTCTTTTATTTTTTTTTTTTTTTTTTTTTTTTTTTTTTTTTTTTTTTTTTGTATTTTATGATTTCTTTAAAAATTAAAAATTTCTATGTACAATTAATAATTATTTTTGTTTGAATATTTGTACATATTCTTATTTGTATTTATAATTTCCAACATGTATTATTTTTATTTGAAATTATGACTTGTACATATATTTAATTTCATAAGTAATTTTTTTTTAATGATATTATATATGCTTTAAAAAATACTAGTAAAATAAAAAATGATATATTTTAAGAGTATAAAAATGTAATATGGTTTTTATGAATTTTACATATAAAAAAATTAATGTTAGTGTAAATAATATATAAAAAATTGAAAAATACAATTTTATGTTTACGTTGAAACTTTTTTAATATTAATATTTTCATAACACATATATATTATTAAATTTATAAGTAATATATATGCTAACACGTAATACATAAAAAAAAAAAAAAAAAAAAAGTAAGCTTACTCTATAAATTGATTTAATTTTTTATTAACATTTTTTATTTCTTAAAATTTCTTTAATTAATGAATCTATAGTTATATTATCAAGAATACTTTGAATAACTTTATTTAATGTTGAGATATCATTAGGAATATTTTTATCATATCGAATCTTTTGAGCTATCCAACCTCCTTCAATTTCTGTTTCAGTCGAATTATCATTTTTACATATAGAATATATATTTTTTGAAACATAATAACATTCAACAATATAATGAGAAATTTTATTGTTTAAAGCTAATTGTAACAATTCTTTATACACATCTCCATATTGAGCTAAGTAGCATTTATAGGATGTTCTTACTCCATTAATTGCAATAAATAATTCAAATTTATTTGGCATATTATTTTCATCATAAACAGTTTCTATTCCAAAATCCACTGTATTTAAATTTAATGGTTTCCACTTTAATAAGTGATAAAAATTTCCTGTTACATATGAAGAATTTAAAGGTGTAAATATAATACCATCTGAGGGATGAGGTAATTTCTTCATTATTTTTGTTAACTCACATATTTTATCAATGGTATAAAAATCCTTTAAATATATCTCAAATGGATACTCATTTTCATCGTTTATAAATGAATCTGATGAGCTTATATCATCATTAATATCGCTGTCACTGTAGTTAATTTCATTGTCAATATTAATACAACTATCTCTTTTATAATCAATACAATCCGTTTCATTATAATTTGAAATTTTTTTATCAGAAGTATTTGGGCTATTTCTACTATTATCTACATTTACACTTAAACATTTACTTTCTTCAACATATTCACTACCGACATTGTATTTCCTTTTTTTTAGGCTTACATCATTACACACTGATTCTTGGGAATAGTTAAAATTTTTATTTTTTAAAATTTTCTTTTTATAAATTTTTAAAGGAGTTATAACATAATTATATACATATTTTAATCTATCTAAATAAGAAAGATTTGTTATATCTCTCCTTTGTATATATAATCCATCATAAATTAAATAAACAATTTTTTTCTCCTCAATACCTTTTCTTTCATGAAAAATAGTATCTTCCACTAATTCTCCATCTAATAATGTTAACTGCTGTTTTTTTGATAAATCTTCCTTCAATGGAATATGCATATCATTTTTAAAAATTTCATAATTTCTATCAATTAAAAATGTAGTATTAGAAGCTATAAATAAAAAATATCTCACTCCATCTGTTTTTTCACATATTATGTATTCCTTATTAAATAAATTTTTTATGTTATGATTCGTTAAAGAAACTGGGTTACTACCAGGAAATCCCTTTCTTTTCCAATTTAACATTTCATTTATTTTTGATCTAATTTTCTCTTTTAAAAACTCATTTTCTATTTTTTCACCAGGATTATATATATCGATTATCATTATTATTAATAAAAAAAAATTTTTTTTTTTTTTTTTGGAATAAAAATTTATAAATTTTTACTTTATTCTATTTTTCTTTTTTGAGTAGCAATGCATTTTATAGGTATCCATTTCCTTCTATTTTTCATTCATTAAAAATTCAAATATTTACTCTTTTTTTTTTTTTCCATTTATCACAAAATTAAATATATGATGTTTTATTTTTTTCAATCATATAGAATTTATATATTTGAACTTACGCTTTCCATTTATTAAAAATTATATAGATTTTTTTAAATTTTGTGAAACTTATATACTCAAAATTTTATTTTATTTTATTTTATTTTTTTTTTTTTTTTAAATTCAATTTTAATAGTTATTTATTTAATTTTTTTTTTTCTTTTTTAAATATATTCAAATTAAAGCATTTGATTATTTTTATTAATTCAAGATTCACGTATCACGTATATGTAATTTACTCTTTATGTCAATTTAAAATATGAAAATATTTGCACTTTCTTTTACTCCTTAAATTTTCAGCTTTTTTATCATTCTTTTAAATGAAAAGTTTTGTAGTTTTTTTTTTCATATGAATATAAATTTCCTTAATAATGCAAAACTCTTAATCTTTTATAAAAAAATTTTTCGTAATTTTTTTTTGAAATACTATAGCATCATGAAATGAAATATTAAATATATTCAAATATTTAGCAAAAGTCACTATTTTAAGTTTTTTTTTTAATATTTTTCAATATGGATGTTTTTAAAAAATTTATATATTAATTAAAATGTTTTTACATGAACATAATCTATGTTTCTTGGTATGTAATTAAAATAATTTTAAAAATAAAAACATTATATATATGTTTAAACAAATAGGTAATAATTTATACTCATAAAATTATGAGACTATTTTATGTAATATTCATTTTAGTATTCTTTTGCATGTAAAAAAATTTATCTTACTTTTTTTTATTTTTCCTTTCATTTTTGCGAATGTGTGTATTTATTGGTTTTACTTAATTACATATACACATTTAATAAAATTATGTTTTTAAAAAGAATGTATATCATTTAAAATAAATCTTAACCTTTTTTTTTTTTATTAATTTTGAAATTTTCATTTTTTAACCATTTAAATAAATAAAAAATTAAAAAGCATTTAAGAATAAATCTTAAATATATAAATATATTTAATTTGTAATTTATACAAATTATATATATTATGGGATGTAGAAAATATAAATAAAAATAAATTGGGTAATTTTAGTGTTAAAAAAAAAAAAAAAAAAAAATAAAAAATTTATATACGTGTTTATTTTTATGTGTAAAAATTTATAGTTATAATAAATTAAAAGATCATAAATAAATTTTTTTCATTTATTGAGGTATTAAATTTATAGATGGAGAAATTTATTTATATAATAATATTAGTAACAAATTATATAATTGAAATTTACGTTAATAATGAATTTTTTAGCTTTTTCTATTTTATAAATAATATATTAAAAATAAAGGAGCAAATTAATCATAAAAATTAATTTTTTCTTTAATTAAAAATTTTATTATTCATTCATTAATCTTTTATATTATTTATGTATATTTTTCTATTATAATTTTTTATTAAATACTTAATGCATAAGTTAAATACATAGTGAAGAGTCAGAAGAAGTTACTAAATTATGGAATAAATTCATTTTATTAATGTTTCTTTGCTTTTTGTTGTTTTTATTACGTAATCACCGTCATACGTATATATATATATATAAATTTATATATATATATATTTTATTCTTTTAACATATTTCATATGTATTATGATTATTAATTGTATTAAATTTTAACTTAATTTATTCATTTGATTATTTTGAAATATTTAATGTTTTTTTTTAATAAATATTTTTATATTTTTATATATATAATAATTAATATGAATTGTATCGTAAATTATTTTAATTTCTTATTCTCAAAAAATTTTTACAAATATATATTTTCCTTTATTTTATTTTATTTATTTTTTTTTAAATAAAATTTTGTAATTAACACATTTGAACTTATATAAAATATATAATTTACATAATGTATATTTTATATATATCTTTAATAATTTTTTTATTTTTTTGAAAAAATAATTTTAAAATAATACATCATTAAAAATAACCTAGACAGTATAAATTAATTTTTATGTTGGAATATTGTATAACTTAATGATATAATTTGTTTCTTTGTGTTTATTAATTTTTAACTTCTTTTTATATTTTTTTATTTTATTAATGAAACAAGTTTTTTTTTATGATAATTTGATATAATTTTATTTATATGTATTTAATATGTGATGCTCTAATTTTTTTTTTTCATTTTTTCTTCTAAATTTTTTGTATATTATAATAAATGTGAATTTTTTTTGGTATTTTTTTTTTTTATATAAAAGTATTTTTTTTTTTTTTTTTACTTTTTTTTTAAAAAAAGTTCTCAGTTACCACAACTAATAATGAATCAGTATGATCAATGGAATCGTAGAATTCGGGTTTGATTTAAATTAATAAAAAAAAAAAAAAATAATAATTATTCATAAATTATGTAAATTGAAAAATACATTTAACAAGAAAAATAATTAGAAATACATATTATGATAAGTGAAATTATAGAACTATAAAAAGATTTATATTAATATTCCTAATACATATACTTTTATATATTTAACTGAAAAAAAAGGAAAAAAAAAAATAATTCATAAAATTCTTTGTTTATACTTTGTAATGAGAAATGTATATATGCTTTTTTTTTTTTTTAGACCATATGGTATTGTAGTAGTCTTTATGTCGAATATAAAAATGCCTTAAGAAAATCAAAAAAAATGCCAGTTGATAAAAAGACAGAATATTGGGAAAAGAAACATGAAGAATTTGCTACGAAAATGTTAAATAATATTTATGAATTAAAAGGTTAAAAAAAAATTAAAAAATAAAAGTAAAAAAGATGTAAAGAATAAACATATATTGTATTATATCCATTTATACATATTAAAAAATAGTTTTAATGTTATTAAAACTTTATTTCAATAGGATGGTGGGTTAAAGTTGGTCAATTTTTAAGTACACAAGAAAATATTATGCCAGTAGCATATATAGAAAAATTTACAAAATTACAAGATATGATGCCTACATCTTCTTTTGATAAAATAGAAGCTATTTTAAAAAAAGAATTAGGTAATGTTTTTTCTTTTTTTCTTATTTTTTAATTAGAAGTTATATACTATATTATAATTTACTTTAATGCTTTTTCTTTAAATTAGGAAATATATATGATTTATTTGAATATATTGATGAACAACCATTAGCAAGTGCATCTATAGGGCAAGTTCATAGAGCTAAATTAAAAAAAAATGAAAAAAATTTAAGTCTTATTGAAAATGATGATAAAAATAAATATAACGTTATAATAAAAATACAACACGAAGGAATAGATCAATTTTTATCTTCAGATATAAATACTCTAAAAAAAGTTTCATGGGCATTTGGATTAATTGATAAAAATTTTTATTTTAGTGATTTTATAGATGAGTGGCAAGATTCCGCTTCTCGTGAATTAAATTACAGATATGAGTTATACCACCAAATATTAGCTTATAATAGTTATAAAAAGTCAGGAATACATATAAAAATACCTAAAATATATTGTGCTCTTACAACTACTAAAGTATTGGTAATGGAATATATAAATGGATTTAAAATTACTGATTACGATTTAATTAAAAAATACAATGTAGACACATATAAATTAGCTTATAAAATAATTGATTATTTTGCTTATCAAATTCACAATGATGGTTTTTTTCATGGAGATCCTCATCCAGGAAATATATTAGTCATGATGAAAAGAAATAATAATAAAAAAAAAAAAAAAAAAAAATTTGAAAATTTTAAAATTAAAAAGAAGATTAATTCTAATATCCTATCATATAATATTCCTAATTTAACTATGGATAATTTTATAGAATCAGGAAATTTTAATTCAAAAAGAAAAAGTTCAAATAAGTTAATGGATTCATTATCTAAATCATTTAGTTATGCTGACTATTCTTTTAATGATAACCTTGATTTTTATCGAAAAAAAAAAATATATGGTTCTAACTTAAGTGAAAACATGAGTGATGATCTAAATGCAATAAGAAAAAGCATTTCAAAATCAGAGGAATATATTTCATATAGAGATTCAAGAAGAAAACTATCAAAGGAAATAAAATTAGACAAAGATAATTATAATAAATTAAGTAATGATAAAAATATGATTACTCGAAAAAGGAGTATGTTTTTGGTAAATAATAATGATAATGAATGTATTGAAAAAAAAGTGGCACACAAAAGAAAAAACCAATATTCTTTTGTACCTGTTATAATTGATTGGGGATTAATAAAGCAGCTAGACAGTGTTATGAAAGTAGCATTTTGTAAATTAATTTATAATATTAGTTGTATGAATGTTTTAAATATTATAGAAGCCTTTGAAGATATGGGTTTTTGCTTTAAAGAAGATTTTACATATGATCCAGAAATATATATTGAAAATTTAAAAAGATTTTTTTTAAAGAAATTAGAAGAATCAAGTAATAAGGTAAATGATAATCAAAAAGAATATGATAATTATAATGAAGAAATAAATAAAAATAAGAATATGGAGATGTTAATTAATATAGAAAAAAAAGATGTATTAGAACAAAATCCTGTTAGTGATGTACCTAAGGATATTATATTTTTTATTAGAGTAGCTTCATTATTGCATGGTTTATGTAGTCAGTTAGATGTAAAAATAAATTATTTAAGCATTTTTTCTAGAAGAGCAAAAGAAGCATTAGAGAAAATTTATAGACCAATGAATAATTCTATATATACAATCCCAATTGATAAAACTCCTAATACTTTCTTGGAGAAAAGAATTCATAATTTCATTAAAAACCTCTTTGATAAAAATAAAATATTAGGATGTCAAATAGCCATTATACATAAAAAAAAATTAGTTGTTAACACGTGTGTTGGAGTAACCAGTACTACGGATAAAAGACCAATCACAAAACATTCACTATTTAATGGATATTCTTTGAATAAAGCTATTCTAACGATTGCTTTAATACATTTAATTTCTAATTCTATAAATGAACACAATTCATCAGAAAATGTTTTCTTAAGTTTTAATAAAAATAAAAAAGATAATAACGAAGTAAAAAGAAGAAAAAAAAATAGCATAAATGAAGAAATAGATGAAAAAGAAAACAAGTTTATTAGTGAAAAGCTTAGTGATATTAACAAAATTGAATATGATTATTTCTCTCAAAAAAAAAAAGAAAATACTTATTTTGAAGATATAACTTCAGAACAAAAAAAAGGTACAGCTTTTAATAGAGTTAGAAGTGATAGCTATAATAATAATAATAATAATAATAATAATAATAATAATAATAATAATAATAATAATAATAATAATAATAATAATAGAAATGATACATATGATGACAATAAGAAGAAAGATTTTAATGTTTCCAATGATAGTTATAATAAAAATAGTACAACTTATAGCAATACCTTAAATAAAACCATACTAAAAGATATAGAATCAAAGCAAATAAAGAATTTTAAAAATACAATAAATGACTATATATGTAACTATTGGGATGGTTTTATTTGCAATAATAAAAAAAATATAAGAATAAAAGATGTTTTAACTCTTAAATGTTTTATTAGAAAACCTTTCCATGATAAAATAACTTTGAGCAAATTTATCGATTACGATAAAATGATTAATATGATAGAAAATTCAAAAAATTATAAATTAAAGAATAAATCATCAGAATATGGAGAATATTTATATTTGATTGATTCATATATTATAGCTGAATTAATTCGTAACATTTCAGGTTTAAAATATTATGAATATATTTTTAAATACATCATAAAACCATTACACTTAACTGAAGAAATGTTTATTCCTATTCCTACCTATTTATTAAAAAGAAATGAAGAAGAATTAAAAAGAAAGAATCAATTAATTAGTGAAAAAGGAAAAAAAAATATGAAAGACAAAAAATTTAATTTACAAAAGGAATACACAACTAATATTAATAAAAGTAATGAATTACCATCTCATACTTTTTCACGTGGAAATGAAAATAAAATATCAAGTAGAATTCCTGATATTTTTAATGATTTGAATCAAGAAAAAAATATGAATATTTATTATAATAATCATATCAGGTATGAATGTAATATTGGAAAAAATGATTACACTAATAAAAAAAATAAAAATATTCACAGAAAAACTATAAAAAGAAGAAATATAAGTTTAGATGTATATTATTCTATGAAGACGAAAAAGGATGATGATACTAAAAATTTTCAAAATTCAAATAATATAATAAAAAATATAAATTTTTTTAGTGCATTACCAGATTCTAATAAGGAGTATTCATATAATAATAATATAGAAAAGGAAAAGCATATAAGAAAATATTCTCAGAATGATAATAGAGAATTATGTAAAGAAAATAACAGTTTATCTAACAAAAAAAAAAGTGAAATGAATATCTTAATTAATAATGAATGTCTTAAAAAAGTATCTGAAAAAGGATTTATTTCTAACAACATTTTAGAAAGTAATTTAAAAAATAGAAATCCTGTAAGTTTGAAAAATAAGTTTTTAAATCATGTAGATAACTTAAAAGTAAAAACAAGAAAAATAAATGATTCACTAAAAAATATATATGAAAACAATGAAAATGTTTTTTTAAAAAAAATTTTTTCTTCACAAAAAAAAAGCGAAATTAAAAACATTGATAATTCTACAATTAATACAAATTATAATAAAAGCAGTTATAATTATAATAATGAAATTATTAATAAAGAAAATAGTATAAAAGAAATAGAAGAAGATAATAGTGATAGATGTGGTACAAAAAAAATATTTTCTAACTTTGGAGAGGCAAAAAAAAATGAAAATTTATTATTAAGTAGTAATGAGTTAAATATTATAAGAGGATCAAAAAGGAGAACCCAAAGCTGTACAAATTGTAAAATGATAAAATATAATAAAAATAGGAATATTAAAATTAAAAAACTTACTAACTCAAATGGTGTTGTATTTAGATATCAAAATGATACTAATAAATTCGTTGACTATAATGTAGATTTTTTTCCTTGTACCTTTTTAAATAATTTTTCCGATAATTTCAAAGATGATGAAATTGACTCAAGAAATCTCTTTTATAATTTAGAAGAAGGAAGAAAATTTTATAAATTTACTTTTGATGATAATATAAAAACATTATTTGAAAACATAGATACAAAAACTAGCGGAGATGAATCAGCAAACAGTATATTAAAGGAGAAATATAATGAGTGTCAGAAAAAAAATAACAAGTATAGAAAAATATTTAAATATATTAAGGTATTAAGAAGTATTTTAAAAGAAAAAGAAAAAAAAATAAAAAAAAAAAGTTTCCCATTTTTAAAAAAAAATGAGGAAAATGGTAATTTTATTAAAGAAATGGAAGAATTAAAAAAAGATGAAGAACTTATGAAAAAATTAATTGAATATAAATATTTGATATTACAAAGACAAAATAATAACATAACGAAAAAAAAAAACAAACAAAATATTTATATTAATGAATGTTCGGACGATATTGAAATGTTCAGTGATTCTACTAGCGATAGTTCTGAATCAACTGCATCTTTAAATAAAATAAAAAGTGAAAATATGAGAAGAAAAATAAATGAAAAAAAAAAACAATTAGAAATATATTTAATTATGAACAATTTATATAAAAAAAATAAAAAAGGGTTAATATCAAAAGAACATCATACTATTAATAAGAAAACAGATGTATATTGGAGACTAGCATATGCTAGGAGAAATATTGATATATTAGATAATATGTCTAGAACTGATGTGAATAAAAAATTAGAAATATTTAAGCAAAATATAAAAAATAAAAAAGTTGGTAGTGATTCAGAAAATGAAGAAAATAATGTAGTATATGAACAAGAAAAAATAATAAATGATTTAAAAAAATTAGATACAAAACTTAAAATGTATTTGGATAATTATAATGTGAAACATTATAACAAATATATATCTTTATTTCAATTAATGCAAACAAAACCATATATATTAGATCCTTTAATTTATGATTCAAAAAAAATACTTGACAAATTTATACCTTTTAATGGAAGATTTACAGCTAAAGCATTGTGTAAATTATTTGCTTTTGCTAATAATCAATTTTTCTTTCCTTCATATATTCTTAATAAAATAAGAAAAATATATACACTTGATAAAAGTATTGAGTCTTATATATTAACAGGTGGGATGAGTAGAAAATGGGGAATGGGTTTTCAAATTTTTGAATGTGAATACAATGATGAGATAAACGAAGATTTTTATTTATATAAAAAAGGAGAAAAAAAGGAAAATAAAAATGGAAATAAGAATAAAGATGTTTCTAATCGTAAAACAATTGTTGGATATGGCCAATCTGACTTTTCTGGCTGTTTAGCTGTATCTTTTCCCGAAATTGATTTTTCTCTTACAATTCTTTTATCAGATATTTTTAAAGGATCAGAAGTAATTAATAAAATTAAAAAAAAAAATATATATATATTTTTTTTAACTCATTTAAAACTTTAAAGCTATTATAATATTCTATATTGCATATATTTTTTATTAAAACTAATATTAAAGATTTATGTATATTTTTAATATTATATTTAGCAAAAATTTATATAAATATTTAAAAAAAAAATTTTTATTTCTTTACATTTTAGGTTTCACATTTAATACTAGATTATGTATTAAAAGTATATGGTATAAAACCTAAGTGGAAGTTACCTATAGAAGTATCAGAACTTATTAAAATCTTATAATATTATTTAAAAAAAAGAAAAAAGTAAATATATGGAAGTTAAAGAAGAAAAATATAGAAAATAAAAAACTTAAACCTTTATGTAGAGACAATTTTTTATATGTCATTTTTTAGTTACGTTTTTTTATTAAATGAGTATATTTATAAAATTTTGTGAATGTTTTTAATTTGTCAACTGTTAAAATTTTGTTGTCAAATATTATGTTGTGAATATTTTTTGTATTTTTTGGAACACTTGTATTTTTTTAATCATTAATTAAAAATTTATCATTGTTCTACTTCACATACGTGTATTATTAAATTTAAACCTCTTTATAAATATATATATATATATGTATAATTAAGAAAAATATATATTGAATTATCTAAATAACAAAAAAAAAAAAAAGTTGCAATAAAAATAAATAAACGAATTCGAGCAATACAAATAGAAAATTAAAGGAGAATAGATAAATTATAGATGTAATAAAATATAATATTAATATACAATCAAATATTATTAGGATAAAGTTTAGATAAATCTTTCCAAATATATAAAAACAAAAATTAAATTTTCCATATGGTTGAAATTTAGACAACTTGAGAATTATTGGTAGTAGAAATATGTTGAAACACCACTAAGACATATTTATAAAAAAATTAATAATTTCTTAGCGTTAATTTGATTGTAGGATTTTTCAAAAAAGCAACCTATAAAAAATACCTTCTATTTTTAAGTGAAGAGAGCCAAAGTTTTGAATAAAAAAAATTATAAATTTAAAATTAAGTATTAAATAATTTTAACATAGTATTTATTTTTTATATGTTTTTTAAATTACAATATATTTATTTAAATTATATATTAATATTTATTTTTTATCCTTAAAAATAAAGGAATAAAAATACTCCTTTTGGTAAATTTATAATTGCAAAAATATATATAATTCTTTAATACTATTTTTTCATTTTCTAATTTTTTATATCATTTTTTATTAATTTAAAATCTTTTTATAATAAAAACGTAAATAATGCATATTGATAATTTTAAATATAAAAAATTATATATATTTCTGAAACATAAATAAATAAATATATATAATATATTATTTGGTATTCCATTAAGTTTTAAATATGCAAGCGTCTATTTATAAAAAAAAAAAAAAAAAAAAAAAAAAAAAATACATAGAATATATATTTTTTTATATATATGTATATGTATTATATGATAAAATAATACATAAAAAAAAAAAAAAAAAATAAATAATACTATAAAATAAGAATATTACATAAAGAAATTTTTGTATGTTCATAAAAGATATATTTAAACTATGTAAACAATTTTGAAAAATTATATATATATATATATATATATATATATATATGCAAAAAACAAGTTCTTATAACAAATATGAATTAAAAAAAAGGTAGAGATGAAATATATTAAAACATAAATTAAAATAATATGCAGATTAATAATTTTATATATTACAATTATAATACTAGGCTCCTAAATTATAATATTATTAGTTAGTTGTTTTTTTTTTTTCAACTGGCTTTAAAATCTAAAAAAGGAAAAAATACATATATGTTTATATAAAAATTTTTTCTTATAAAAATAAAAATTTATTTTAAAAAATGGAAATTCATTTTAATATATATATATATATATATATAAATGTAATATACAAAAAAAAAATTTTATTTAAATGTTTCTTACTTGAAATGAACACATTAACGTTTCATCTACACTCATCATAGCACCTGCATTATCAAATTCACCGCAATAATTAGGAGCAGAAAATAAAGTAACCAATTGTCTTTTTGCAAAAAATTCATAACCATCTTCTACTACCTATTCAATTAAAAAATATATATATTTTAAAAATAATATCAATAATTCACATATATAATGTTTATATTAAAAATAAAATAAAAAGTAATTATCTTTTACATTATAAATATGGAAAATATTATTTAAAAATAAATGTACATAAATAGCTTTTTTTTTTTTTTTTTTTTTTTTTTTTTTTTTTTACCTGATGTGCTCTGCATATTAAATCTAATTCGTGTTTTCTTAAAAAATTATGAACAACGTCTTGACCAAAAGTAAATGAAACTCCTCTGTCATTTTCTCCCCAACCATTAATTTCTTTTTCTGGATCAGACCATAATAAATCACATAATAAACCTATCAAAAAAAGTTAAATATATATATATAGACATATATGAATAAATATGGAAAAATAAAATTACAATAATAGTAATATATATTTCATTTAAATATAAAGTATAAATATATATAAATAATAAGATTGTGAATTTCATTTCAGTTCAAGATGTACAAAAATATGTATAATATTGTATATCATAAAAATAAAGCTTTCTTTTTATTTTTTTAAATGGGTATTTCAATAAAAATAAATATATATAATCTTATTTTATATTTTTGTTTAATTTTTATAAATACAATTTTAATTTGTATAAAGATAAAAATTTTTATATAATAAAAGAAGATTAATATTTATGCATATAGAAAAATTATATTTTAAAGAATTTACCATTATCTGGTACATCTGTTGGCCTAGTTATTTTTCTTATCTGTTCCATATTATTTAATTCTGGAGATAATCCCCCATGCATACAAAAAATTTTTTCGTCAATAATTGCTGCAACAGGTAAGCAATTAAAGCAATCAATAAACGTTTTCCATAATTTCACGCTATATCTTCTTTTACATTCATCATAAAAACCATATATTCTATTAATTGATGCACATTCATGATTTCCTCTTAATAAAAAAAAATTTTCCGGATATTTTATTTTATAAGCTAAAAGTAAACAAATAGTTTCTAAACTCTGTTTCCCCCTATCAACATAATCTCCTAAATAAATAAAAATATAAAAAAAAAAAAAAATTTTGCATACATATAAAAAAATGTATAGTTTTTTTTTTTTTCTAATCTATATATAGTATGCATATATTTTTGAAAAAAATATTATATGCATAATATATAATTTCATATTATAAATAATCTATAAGATGATTAATAATCAATTTTTTATATAATATCTATATATATTACATCTATATGTATATATATAATTATTATTTATAACTTATAATTATATTACTAAAAATTAATAAATTGCACACATATATATATATATATATATAGTAAAATTTTATTATTAGAAAATATACTGAAAATTTTCTTTTAATATTATAAATAAAAATAACCTAAAAATAAGTAATTAGCATCCGGAGGAAAACCACCATATTCAAATAATCTTAATAAATCATAAAATTGACCATGAATGTCTCCACATATTTTTATTGGTGCTTCTAATTCAAGCAATATTGGTTGATTTAAAAAAATTTCTCTACTAGATAAGCATAATATCTTTATTTCATTTTCAGTTAAGTTAACATTTTTTCCTGGTCTTGTTCCTCTAACTTCTATTAGCTTTGATATTACATTATCTATATCTATTTCTAATGCCATAATAAATATTTACTTAAGCAAAATTGTTTTTATCCTTCAAATGATATAATAATAATTCTTCTAACAATTTTTTTATTAATCATGAAGAATATGCTTTTTTTATAATGTTAAAATATTCGATAAATTGGAAGCAAAAAAAATAAGCATTTCTTTATGAAAAAAAAAATATATATATATTTATTTTTTTATTATATATATGACATTATTTCATAAATATTTCATATTTTGATTAATTAAATAGTTTTCCTTGAAATTAATTTGTGTCTTTTAAAAATAAAAAAATATATTATAAATTTTTTTAAATTTATTACATGAGAAGGATCATTTAACTTCTTAAACAAATATATCCAGGAGTTTTATTATTTTTTTAAAAAAATTATTTTTTTGTATATTCTGAAGAAAAAAAAAAAAACTATATTTTACTAATAGTTTTATAACTATAATTCTTCTTCCTTCTCATATTAATTCCAATCTATTTGAAAGCATACTTTCTCTTTTTATATATTTTAATAAATATATGCATATTTTTTTTACTGCTTTTTCTTCTATTTTTTATACTTTTATCTTCTGTTTTTGTTTTTTATTTTTTTGTTTTACTTATTTTACTTATTATGTTTCTTATTAAGTTTGTGTTTCTTTTTTTTTTTTTTTTTCTTTTTTTTTTACTTTTCCTTTTAAATTTT